CAAAAGCCTGAACAGTCTGAACATCTTGAACATCCTTAAACCGCCACGTGTCACTTTTTTGACTCGCGAGAAAGTTTGGGCAAAAGCCTGAACATGCTGAACATGCATCTCCCCCCCCCCCTGGAAACATTCCGTACTCTGTTGCCTTCTTGCCCGATGAGAAAGTTTGGGCAGAGGCCTGAACAGCCTGAACATGTGCAATCGGAACCGACATATACTTCTGGCTTTTTGCAGGGAATGGCAAAGGCGTCTTGAAGGAGATGCTCAAAGCTCTCCTGGGCGCATACTTTTGCGCCATGTCAAGGGACGCGGTGGTCAAGACCCCGGGGCAGCGCCCCCCGTCCAAGGGCGCTCCAACGGCGTACGTCTTTGCCCTGAAAGACAAGCGGATCGCGTTCTCGGACGAGACCGAGGAGGGCCAGCAGGTGGACATGGCGCTCTGTCTGTCGCTCAACGGAGGGGGCGAGACCGTCGCGCGCGCCCTCTACTCCAAGGACGTGGAATTCACGCTGACCCACACGACCTTCATCCAGACCAACAACCTCCCCCTCATCCCCCCGGGCGGCAACCCCGACGGCAACAACGCGCGGCGTCGTATCAAGGTGCTCAAGTACCCGAACACCTACCTGCCGGCCGACAAGTTCGACGCTACGAACGCCTCACACAGGCCCCTGGTGATCGGCCTCAAGGAACGGATGAAAGCACCGGGAGTCATTGAGCAGCTGATGTCTCTACTCGCGCGCTTCTCCGTCGAGTATTATCGAGAGGGTCTGGGAGAGGATCCCCCGGAGGTCGTGGAGGCCACCGGAGCTTACTTCGACGATTGTGACAAGCTGCAGCAGTTCCTGGACAAGCACTGCGAGATCGGGGCTGGCTTTGAGACTCTGGAGGGCGACTTCTACCTGGATTATCGCGCCTTCTCCAATGAGCCGATCACGAAGGAGGCGCTCATGAATCAGATGAAGAGCAAGGGCTATCGGAGGAGTGCCAAGCCCCTGAACGTGTGGAACAAACGCGAACAAACTCTACTATCCGCGCATCAAGAGCATCTTCGTCCGCGACTGAAGGAGCATCTCATAGATTAGCGGTCACCTTAAATAGATGTACAGTGCCATGTAAAATCATTGTAAATTACCGTAATAGCTTTATCCAGCATTCGCATGTTCACAGCCCGCCAATGGTCATTGAAATAGATTTGCACAACAATCTGAACATCTTGAATATTGTCTTACATGTTTGCACAGCGACCCACATGCCGAAACTGTGACGTCTGCCCTAAAGCCTCAGCTATAAAGCGGCAATACGACC